AAGTTGACGCCTTGTGTCTTCACAGTGACTATTGGCAAGGAAATGATTGGTTTGTTTGACTTTGTAGACCTGCCAGCCTTCCCTGCAGAAGCAGAGCTGCCTAGGACCTGGCAGTAGGAAGCTGTGGTGTGAAGGGTGAAAGGCTGAACTTTCCTGTGGTACTTCTCCTGCTTCTCCTGAACACTTCTACTGAACTCTCTGATAGGGGTTTCACATGTTTGTGATCATTTTATAGTAGGCTCTCCCCTCAAAATTTATTGCTCAGATCTGTGGTTCTAAGTGGTGTTGACAGGACACAGAATTTTAAAAAATGTTTTGTCACCCATCACACACTATAAATGAACAGCTGTATTATTAAAGCAAATATTTTCTCAACGTCACAGATTTTGGATAAATATTATTATGGATTCAAATTTATTTTATTCAAACTTGGAAACATCAATTGTTGATTTCTGTTTGCTATACACTCCCAGAACAAATTTTACAGTTCTGAATCACTTCCAAATGACAATTATAGTGCACAAAGGAAATCATTATCTTAAAAACCCTTCTGTTTTGGTTTTTTCCCTCTTACAAATGTCCTTAAGCTAGGGCCAAACAGTTTTACATTTCTTCTTTAGCTAACTCTGATTTTCATATTCTCTTTTTTTATTTCCAATAGAGAAACTATATTATTCTATCATGATTTTTAAAAATTCAAACAAAAAAGGAAAAAGCAACTTCTGAAAAATTTAATGAAGTTTAAATAAAAGGAAATTATTTTAAAGGCTTTGCTAATATTTTTGCTAGTTTTTGTAGTGGACAAAAAAGAAAAGAAGACACAGTTTCCTTTAAGGAATAATTTGGACCAATCTGTATGCACAGTCTCCTAGACACAGGTTCAGTTGGGTGATTTTGGAAGATCTATAAGGAAAAAATAAGAAGTCAGGGTATAATTATGGTCTTTGATAAAAAGCATAAACATCAGGGATAAGCCTGGAGCTTGTTACAAAGAATGACAACAGAAGGCATGATAGCTGATAAAAATGATTAAGCTCTTCTGTGCTAGGCTCTGGGCTAAGAAGTGACTATTAGAATCTCCACTTTACAGGTAAGGAAACAAAGGTCTGATACTGAACAAATGACAGCCTGACCACTTTCTGTCTCAGACAGAATAAGTTCTGAATGTAGAAAGATAAATTGATAAACCTAGACATAATAGGCAGTGGGTCCTGGAACCAAAGAGAGAGAGAGAGAGAGAGAGAGAGAGAGAGAGAGAGAGAGAGAGAGAGAGACCAGGAGTGAACAGCAAGAATCTTGACATTCTTGAGTCTTTGTGGTGTCAGCCAATATTAGGATATAACAACGCTGAAATTAATGCATGAAAAACTAACAGAGTAACACCTGGCATGAGCCATGACAGTACTTACTTGTGAATGTTATTTTCCGCTTTAGAATCTGATTTGGATTTAAATTTCTGCCTACAGAAAGAGCAGAACAAATCATTCTAATTGTAATGAAAATAAATGTTATAAAGCTGTGGATAATGGAAAAAAAGAGAAAATAGAGAAAATAAATGTTAAGTTCATTTCTTCTAAAATTAGGTCATTCTAAACACTGGGCATGAGCAGAAGAAATGACAAAACCAACATTCAAAATTACTTTTAAAACATAGGTCATTTCCTCCTCCCCTATGCCATAGAGATACTTTATTTTTTTAAAAGCCAAAATCACATTTATTGGAAAAGATTAATAGGGTAGAGAGAAATAGGGAGAAGTTGCCAATAACAAAACACAAAATGAAAAAATGAAAAATAATTATAGATAATGGATATTTTTAGATTAATAAAAATAAAGAAATACACATTATTGATTAAATGAATAAATTCTTAGAAACATATAAAATCCCAAAACTGGTATAAGAAAAAGTAAATTTTAAAGAAACTCAAATGGTAGAATGGTAGTCAAAGACCTTTCTTCCCTAAAATCGTCACCCTAGTGGATTTACAAGTGAGTTGTATTAAACTTTTAAGGAACAATTGATTAGCACCTTATATATGGTCTTCAAAAAAGTAGAAAGAGATATGAAATCTGCCCAGCTTATTTCATCAGGTTAATGCTATCTTGATCTAAAACCAGGTAAGAATATTTACAAAAAAAGATAATTCAAGGCCCATTTCACCTATCCATGCATATTAAAAAAAATTGTTTTGTGGTTTTTATTTTTATATTTTAAGTTAATATTATTTTTAGTTGACAAATCATAATTGTATACATTAGTAAGATGTAATGAGATTTTTTTGAGATTTATAAAATGTGGAATGATTAAATCAAGCTGATTAGCTTATTCTTTGCCTCTATAGACGTACTTTAAAAACGTGCTGCATTGCTTTAAGAAAGTGGATAGTATCTAACTAGTCAGAACTTACAGGAAATGGACTAATAATAATTATTTAATAAAGGAAAACTTTAATAAAGCACTTGAAGTGTGTTAAGCATGTGCTAAGAACTTTATGTGGGTTATCACAGTTATTCTTCACAATAAGATCTTATAATGTGGAAATATGACCTAGAGAAGTTAAGAAAGTAGTGCTCAAGAATAGTAAAACTAGTAACCAGTGAGGCTGGAACTAAACTCAGACAGCCTGAAGTGGAAATATAATCAAATTCATATAATTCACAAGTATTTAATTGATGCCTATTGTCTGTAAAGCAGGGAGGTAAGTTTTTCTTCTTTTTCATTTTTAGTTTAGTCTCTATTCAGGGGTATTTAATGGTAGAATTTTATCTTGTTTTATTTTGGTCATTGAGGCTAATTTTCTCATTACGCCAAAAGGTGGCAGTTTAAGTCTCTCATATTGATTCTCTGAAGGTATAACCTAGCTAGGCCCCTGTGAATGGCCAAACTATGAAAAAAAGCAGTGCTAGATATAGCCCAATGTGTATGTATGTGTTTTCCTACTCAAATCCCATCTTTAGGTTATTTGAAGTGAGCAAATTGAATTTACCAGGTATATCACCAGGTACAAAACTCTGCATGTTTTGGTTAAATAGAATTCTAAATGTAGCACTGAGTAAGTAACAGATTCTCCCCTTGACCAAACCTAGTCAGGCTCCTCTGAGCTCTTTTTCAACTAGGCTCTGTCCTCTGGCATGTCCTCAAGAGCCCAGTGTTAGCAGGGATCCTGCTAAGTCACTTTAGCCAGAATCCCCACCCTCGCTATCGGATCACCTTTGATATCTGATAAAATTCCTCATTCTCCACTATTCCCCAGGTGATGACTGATCACCCTGGCCTACCTTCAGCAAGAATTCTGCCTGATAGGCTTAGTCATAATCTCCTTACCCCTGATGTTTCCTCTTAGTAATTTCCATTCAGTGACCCCTTCCCTGCTCCTTGGCTATAAATTCCCACTTGCCCATGCTGTATTGGGAATTGAGCCCAATGTCTCTCCTCAGGTTACCAACACTTCTGTCTGATGTGGCTACAAAGCTGAGGTTCCCTTGCAATTACCCTTTCAGGTCCAATAATTTACTAGAATGGCTCATAAAAGTCAGGGGAACACTTTGCTTATTCTTACCAGTTTATTATAAAGGATACAAATAAACAGCCAGATGAAGAGGTACATGAGACAACATCTGGAAGGCTTCCAGGCACAAGAGTTTCTGTCCCCATGGAGTTGGGGTATCTCATCCTCCCAGCACATGGGAGTGTTCCTTAACTTGGAAGCTTTCTGAATCTCATTGTTTAGGGGTTTTTATGAAAGTTTCATTATATAGGCATGATTGTTTACATCATTCACTATTGGTGATTGTCTCAATCTCCAGCCACCCTTTCCCTCCCAACTCCCTCAAGTCAGGGAGTGAGGCTGGGAGTTCCAACCCTCAAATCATGCATTGGTCTTTCTGGCTACCTGCCCCTTTCTTGAAGCCATCTAGGGTCCCCAAGCCACCATTCATCTCATTAGCATATATAAGACAATTATCACTCTGGAGTTTCCAAAGGTTTTAGGGGCTAATGTGTCAGGAACTGGGGACAAAGACTAAATATTTATTTATTTTTTATAACAGCTCTCAATATGTGTTAATATTTGCTAAACTGGGCACAATCCTACACCATGGAAACAATTTCCAAAACGGCCTGTCATAATTACGGTTTTTAACCTTGAAAAGATAAGCTCTTTCTGTTTCAGACTCTAGCCGAGCAGTTTAGGTCACAGAATTAGTTGGGAATTGCAAGTACTTATTAGTAGAAGTAGAGATATTTGGAACTGTTATAGCTGAAATTTCTAATAAAAATTCCAGGAAGTTTACAAACTTGGCTGGGATATAAATTCATTTGAAGAAATAGTATATCTCATCTTCAAGAAAATTTCAAATGCAAAACATGACTTTCTTTGTATTTTATATGTTCTATGTGGTTCTCTGGAGCCAATACTCTTAGGTGAGAGGAAGAACATAACGTTTCCCCTTAGAATTCCTCTGTAATTCTTAATATGACAGATTTCCTGCCAGGTAGCCACAGTTTACCACTTTCTTTCTTTGCCCTACCAGTTAGAGCAGAGGCTTTCCAAAACAGAATTTCACAAAACATGCTGATTTATTCTATTCTACTTGTTTAAAATGATGCTGGCCAGGACCCACTGATAGATTGATTGATTAAATTGATTTTTTTTTTTTTTTTTTTGAGACAGAGTCTCGCTTTGTTGCCCAGGCTAGAGTGAGTGCCGTGGCGTCAGCCTAGCTCACAGCAACCTCAAACTCCTGGGCTCAAGCGATCCTACTGCCTCAGCCTCCCGAGTAGCTGGGACTACAGGCATGCGCCACTATGCCCGGCTAATTTTTTATATATATATCAGTTGGCCAATTAATTTCTTTCTATTTATAGTAGAGACGGGGTCTCGCTCTTGCTCAGGCTGGTTTTGAACTCCTGACCTCGAGCAATCCACCCGCCTCGGCCTCCCAAGAGCTAGGATTACAGGCGTGAGCCACAGCGCCCGGCCTTGATTTGTTTATTTATTTTTTTTTTGATGCCCTTCTCATGGGTCTCAAGCCTGTTTTGAAAATGTTGTAGAACCCTAAATTCAGGCTCGTGTACCCAGTGTGCAGCTAAAGATAAATGTTTTGATGCCGGTGCTTGGAGCTAGAGAAATGTTGATTCTATTCAGCCAAAGCAAGAGAAAAAGTCTCTCAGATCTTCTCACAGAGATGTGGCATCAAGCTTGTATGTGGGGTTGGGATAAGGTAGAGGGATGTCTGTGTTGTTTTTAGTCTCAGATAATGCTTTGAGTAACCAGACTTCTGGGCGTCAGCAGCTAGTCACAGCTTTTTCAGGGGCATCCATTCCTTCTGCAAAACAAACTCATAAAATTTTCTTGCGACCCTGGAGTTGTCTCCTACTGCCTGATCAAAAAAAAAAAGTACATCAGTAGTTAGTGACTTCTGTAAGAATAAAAGGCATTGGTCAGGAAGCAAGTGGTTAGCATGTGTAAACAACCATTTTCTGTAGTCATTAAACATAACCAGGTACTAAAATCTGAAGGGGTCCAGTTACAAAAACACTGGATTAGAATTATACACTGGGTTAAAGAATGTTGACATGAGAGGGAGGTAGAATTTGAAAATTTTGCCCTTATTTTTTATTGTACACTTGGATTAGTTGTTCTCCAATTTGAATAATTGGTTGTGTGTGAAGATCTCCAGTATAATTTTCCTGTTGTCCCCAAATTCTTATTAAGATCAAGAACTGAGGACTAAAGGTATCAAATATCCCATATTCTACGTACACAATTAGGAGCAGTCTCCTCACTATAAGCTTTCCTAGAGGACCCAGGACTGGCCCTTCTCCTCCCACACACACCCTTAGGCAAGAGAAGAGGCCGGGAGGTCAAAGGACACCCAGTCTCTGCAGGGAAGTGGGGCCATGGCTGGTTCATCAGAGACAGACCCTAGATGGAGAGAGAGAAAAGCTGGAGGAAGAATGACATCAACACCCACCTGTTCCTCTTCTTTCCCCAGGGGAATTACATAACATTTCCAGGGGGCCAAAAAGGGGTCATAAATAGTTTCTCCATTTTTAGGGACAATGCAGTGGTACTGTTTGGAACTTCTTCATTTTTTCTGTTTGGAAGGTGTCTTTATTTTTCTAACTCCAGAAAGTGTCAGGGCAGGGCCCAGAGGAACAAGAGCTGGATGGTCCCTGGGCTTTCAGGGCTGGAGGAGGTGGGGGTGACTTTCCTCTGTGGAGCCCTACTTGCCTGCCTAAAAGCTGGCAGCGACCCAGGGCAGAGGCCTCTCAGTGTCAAAGGTGGGAGACGACAGGGCAGGCTCCTCAGCCCACAGTAGCAGGGGGAACACCTGTACTTGTCTGTGAGGGGATCAAGATTTATTTATATCCCAGTGTTCTTTTATCTCCACCTGTTTAAGTTCTTTCTTTAAGTTCCAAGAACAATTCCGTTGTTTTCCAACTGGGTCCTGGGCTATTTTGTAATGTAGAATCAGGGTGGGATGCGGGGAACAAGGGTGGAGAACGTGCCAAGCTAGGCTGAAGGAAAATGGAAAGGACTTAGACAGTGAGGTTAATTCACCCACCATACTAAATTTATGATAGGAGAGAGAAGAAAGAAGGAGGGAGAACTGAAACTTGGTAGCCTGGAAGACATTCAGTGGAGGGTCTGGTGAATGAGCAGCTTACAAAGTGCTGTAGCACATGAGAAAATTGGAGAGAAGAGAAGAAAGGATGTGGGAAATGTTGCTCTCAACCCCTCTAAATGCTCTCCACGAGCACAAATAGAGAATGGAATCCTTTTTAATTTCCCCTTCCAGAAGAAAGGAGCCGCGTGGGGCTCCAAGAATTATTTAGGGTATAGCTGTGCACTAATAGTGTACAATACCCACCCTAAATATTCTAATTACAGGCATGAGAATGTCTTTTGGATTGACAAAATTATCTGTTTTAAATACTACACTATACATGTGGGAAAATATTATAACCATAACTGAATAGCTCCTATGAGTTGAAAATACAAGAATAGCAAAAAACATTGAAAAACTGTAATTAGAAGATAGTAAAAAGTCCAAGACCATAAAGATCATTTCAGAAAGGCCCTAGGAATAGAATTAAAGGAATTTTTGACATTACACGTTAGGAAGAACAGAAGCCATGTGATACAGGATTGGGCCATATGGTACAGGAAGTTGGCAAAAAAGTAACAAGTGCCCTGGAGAGTTAATTGGAAAAGCATGTCCCTGAGAAACAAGGAGGTTAATAGAATGCTCTGTTTGGCTTCCTGCCCTGATACCTGTTCACCCTCACACGTGGGGCCATGTAGCACCTCACGAGGTTTGGCTCACACCAAGACTAGTAATTTGCCACCAGAAAAATGAAAGAATTCCTGGACTGGTGCCTCATCACCTGTAATAATGATGATTGTACCTAACACATATTGAACAAAGATGTATACAGTCACATGCTGCATAATGACATTTGGGTCTATGATGGATTGTGTATACAATGGTGGTCCCATAAGATTAGAATGGAGCTGGAAAATTCCTATTGCCTAGTGACATCATAGCCATCCTAACATAGTGCAATGCGTTACATTTGTGGTGATGCTCTTGTGAACAAACCTGCTGCATTGCCAGTCATATAAAAGTATAGCACATTAAATTATGTATAGTGTGCAATACTTGATAATGATAATAAATGACTATGTTACTGGTTTATATATTTACTATCCTATGCTTTTTATCATTACAAAAAAGAGTGTACCCCTTCTACTTACAAAAAAAAGTTAACTGTAAAGCAGCCTCAGGAAGGTCCTTCAGGAGGTATTCTAGAAGAAGACGTTATCATAGGAGATGACAGCTCTATGAATGTTATTGCCCCTGAAGATCTTCCAGTGGGACAAGATGTGGAGATAGAAGGCAGAGACATTGACAATCCTGACCCCGTGCAGGCCTTGGCTAATATGTGCGTTTGTCTTAGTTTTTAACAAAATTTTAAAAGGTAAGAAAAAACAACAAAAAAATTTTTAAAATAGATAAAAATATTATAAAATGAAGATGTAAAGAAAAATACTTTTGTACAGTTGTCAATGTGTTTGTGTTTTAAACTGTTACTAAAAGAGTCTAAAAGTTAAAGAAATTAATGTTTATAAAGTAAAAAATTTACAGTAAGTTAAGGTGAATTTATCATTAAAGAAAGAAAAATATCTTTATTAATTTAGTGTAGCCTAAGTTTACAGTGTTTATAAAGTCTGCAGTACTGTGCAGTAATCTCTGGGCCTTCACATTCACTGAACACTCACTGACTCACTCAGAGCAACTTCCATTCCTGTAAGCTCCATTCATGGTAAGTGCCCTGTATAGACATATCATTTTTTATCTTTTATGCTATACTTTTACTGTCTATTTTCTATGTTTAGATTAATGTTTAGATATACAAATACTTACTGTTGTGTTCCAAGTGCTGACAGTACTCAGCACAGTCACATGCTGTAAAGGTTTCTAGCCTAGGAGCAATAGGCTATACCACATAGCCTAGGTGTATAGTAGGCTATGCTATCTAGGTTTGTGTAAGTGCACCCTAGGATACTGCACAATGATGAAATCCCTGAATGACACATTTCTCAGAACACATCCCATTATTAAGCAATGCTTGAGAAAGAGAGTGTGTGTGTATGTGTGTATGGCAATGTGCTAAACACTTTACATGCAGCATATAATTTAATTTTCACATCTGTCTGAATCATATATTACTACCCTTGTTTTATATAAGAGACCGAGACTTAGGAAGTTAAGTAGTAATGTCACATTGGTGTTCAGTACAGGAAACAGAAACTAATTTGGTTGTTTCAAGCAGAAAGACACGTGATATTCTGCAGTTTGAATATGAGATACCTAGGTGTAGATTTTTGGGTATTTCTCCTGCTTGACATTTTCTGAGGTTCCTGAATCTGTGGTCTGGTGTCTATTAGTTTTGGAAAACTCTCAGCCATTATTGCTTCAGATATTTCTTTTGTTCCTTTCTCTGTTTTCCTTCGGGCATTCCCATTATGTGTACATTAACCTTTGTAATTGTGCCACAGGCCTTGGATATTCCTTTTTTTTTCTTTTTCATTCTTTTCCCTCAGATTCAGTTTTAGAAGTTTCTGTAGATATTTTTCCAAGCTTGCTGATTTTTATCTTAGTTGTGTCCAGTCTATTAATGAGCCCATCAAAGGCATTCTTAATTTCTATTACAGTGTTTTTGATTTCTAGTGTTTCCTTTAAGATCTTTCACAGAGTTTCCATCTCTCTACCCATCTGTTCTTGCATGTTGTTTGCTTTTTCCATTAAATGCCTTTAATGCATATTAATCATAAATGCATATTAACCATAGTTCTTTTAAATTCCTGGTCTGGTAATTCCAAAATCTCTACTACATCTGAGTCTGGCTCTCATGTTTGTTTTGTCTCTGTAGACTGTATTTTTGCCTTTTAGCATGTCTTGTAATTTTATTTTGAAAGTTAAATGGGATATATAAGGTAAAAGGAACTGAGCCTTTAGTATGAAGTTTTATATTAATTTGTGTAGCAGTTAGGCTGGGTTTACTGTTTGCTGTGGATATAGGTGTTAGAGACTAATATTTCATTTAGTGTTCTTGGTTTTTTGTTTCCTTTGTTATATTTACATTTTCCTAGAGACTCCTTAAATAGGATCTGAGGCTTGCAGTTCTTTTAGCTACAATCCTCTGTTTTCATATAGGAGGCCTATGATATTGGTGAGGTGTAGAGGGAGGGAAAACATTCTATAGTACTATGATTAGGCCTGCTTTTTAGTGAGCTATGTCCCTGGGCTGTGACTATCTCATATGCTCCTCAGTTTCTTCTCCCTTGCCTTAGATAAGACAGGAAGGGTATAGGAGTTTGGAGCTGGATATTTCCCTTCCCCTAGGTCAGTTAAACTTTGGTAAAACTCCATTGGGCTCGTGTAAAATACAGATGCTCCTTGACTTTTGATCGGGTTACATCCCAATAAATCCACTGTAAGTTGAAAATATTGTTAAGTTGAAAATACATTAAAGCATTAATACACCTTAACTTACTAAACAGCATAGCTTAGCCTAGCATATCTTAAAGGTGCTCAGAACACTTACATTAGCCTCCATTTGGGCAAAAACATCTAACACAATAATGAATTATTGAATAGTTCGTGAAATTTATTGAATACTGTACATTGTGTTGAAATTGCAACAGTTTCACACCATCATAAAGTCAAAAAATCATAAGTCAATAGGCATGTTTGAAAATGGTTACTTTTTCCTTCCTCCTGCAGGATGCACAAGGGGCTGATTCTCTGATTTTCATAGTGAGACTCTTGTGGGGCTCCTAGAGATAAAACTTATAAAAGTGTGGAAGCCC